TTTCTGCTTCTCACTTGCCCCCCTCGCTCGCTGGCGAAAAAGTCCGACGGCGGCTGGCTGGTCGCTTTGTGGGGCCCCTGGGGAACAGTTCTTCGGGCCTCGGAGACATCCGCAACAAAAGGCTCGGGACGAAAGAGCAGTCCATGACCAGGATGTCGCGAGATCTTGTCGCCGCCGATCTTGGCCATGGTCCATGCCGGCCGTCGCCGATTCGCGAGGACGACGACCCACGATTCGTCGATGGTCAAGGCTGGCAACGACGTTTCCTAGCTGAGTCATATCGGCCATTCGTATAAGAGTGGCCCTTCGCTGGAGTGGCCTTTGGAGTGGGCCCGCAGTAGGGGTCCCGCCAGCACAGCCCTGCGCGCTTGGATTGCGTCGATGTGGCCTCCCCCGCGGCCACCTAAGGCCGCGCACCAAAGGTCACTCTTGCCTGGGGCAACTCCTTCGTGCGGCCGAGTCTTCATGGTGGCCCTCGCTTTCTCTGTTGGACGCCCGGGTTGTCCAGGGTCACTGCGGTCCGGGGTCACTTTCGGTCTGGGCCACCGAGGCGCGAGCTATTCCTGACCGCCCCCAGCCCTCAGATTCGGCTCCTCCTCCTCCTCCCCCTTCTCCTCCTCCTCCTCCTCCTCCTCGTCCCCCTCCTCCTCCTCCTCCTCCTCCTCCTCCTCCTCTGATTCTGTCCCTCCCTCTTCTTTTTCTCAGCCGCCAGGGAGGCCCTGGTGGTACCCCCCTCGGGGGCACCCCTTGGCGGCCAGGAAAGGAGCCTCGGCCCCCCGCGACGAGGCGACCCGCACCCGAGGAGGAGAACGGAGGAGGAGGAGGAGGAGGAGGAGAAGGAGGAGGAGGAGGAGAACGGAGGAGGAGGAGGAGGAGGAGGGGGAGGAGGAGGAGGGGGAGGAGGAGGAGGAGGAGGAGGACCAGTGGAAACCCAAGAGTCATCAACTATTGTTGGAATTACCTCCCTCCGAGCTCACCCTCTTCATAGGCCCCTACAAACGGTTCATTTCCTTCAGGGAACTTGGCCTTGTTGGAAGACCTACAGTTTTTGAAGACCTGAAGCGGTGCCACGATTGTTCGCGGGAGTAGTCACGCCATGTATCAACTTGTCTGCTGCGTCATGACGATCCAGAATCGTGCTAGAACGCCATTCGTGGGACTTCAATACAGCGAATCAGCATAATTGCTGCGCCCGCATATTCCTGAATCTTTCCAAAACGCCATTTCTGGTACGTTGATCATGGGAGGCCGTGAAACTCTTACAAATGTTAAAACGAAAGTGCGCGGCGCTAAGGCGAGAGCCACATTTTGAAAAGGACCCGTCCTCAATCCGTGAAACTTCTGCAAATGTTTAAAACGAATGCGCGCCGCGCTAAGGCGAGAGCCACAGTTTGAAAAGGAACCACCCTGAATCCGTGAAATTCTTGCAAATGTTCAAAACGAATGTGCGCGGCGCTACGGCGAGAGCCACATGTTGAAAACCACCCTCCCTCAATTCGTGAAACTGTTGCAAATGTTTAAAATGAATGTACGCGGCGCCAAGGCGAGATCACAGTTTGAAAACGGCCCGCCCTCAATCCGTCAAACTCTTGCAAATTGTTCAAATGATTGTTCAATCCGTCAAGCTTTTGCAAATTGTTGAACGCGACCTTTTGCAAATTGTTGAAAACGACCCGCCATCCATCTGTGAAATGGTTTTCATGTTTTAAGCTTCAGAGTCATAAATGGTGAGGGAGTCTCAGGCGACACGCCCGGCCCGGCATAAAACATTGCCTCTATAAGGAGAAGGAAAGGAGGAGGAGGAGGAGCAGGAGGAGGAGCCAGAGGAGCCAGAGGAGCCAGAGGAGCCAGAGGCGGAGGAGGACGAGGAGAAGGAGGATGAAGAGGAAAAGGAGGAGGAGGAGGAGGAGGAGGGGGACGAGGAGGAGGAGGAGGAGGAGGAGGAACAAGGAGAGGAGTGCAGGAGGAGGAGGAGGAAGAGGAAACGGGGGAGGAGAGGAAGAGGAGGAGGAGGAGGAGGATGAAACTAGGGAGGAGGAGGAGTAGGAAGAGGAGAGGCAACAGAGGCAACGTGGGAGGCGAGGGGAGGAGGAGAGAAAAATGGGAGAAGGAGGAGGATGGGAAGGGGAGGAGGACGCGGACGAGGGACGAGGAGGAGGAGGAGGAGGAGGAGCTGAGGAGGATGATGCTAGGGAACGGTAAGGAGTACGGCGGAGTAGGAGGAGGAGTCGAGGAGGAGCACGAGGACGAGGACGAGGACGAGAGCAAGGGGGCGAGGGGGAGTGGGGAGGGGGAGCGAAGGGGGATGGAGGAGGAGGCGGGGGAGGGGGGAGGAGGAGGAGGAGGAGGAGGAAGGAGGGAGGAGGAGATGAGGAGTCGGAGGAGGAGGAGAGGATGAAGAGGATGATAAGTGTAGATGAGGGAAGCGGAGAAGGAGGAGTATTAGCGAGTTGGAGGTCGAGGAGGGGAGGAGAATGCTGATAATGAGGAAAAAGACGGTGGAGGAATAGTAGAAGGATTAGGGAGGTGGAGGAGGCGGAGG